ACACACACACACACACACACACACACACACACACACACACACAGACTAACTGACACAGAGAGAGAGAGAGAAAGAGAAAGAAAGGAATAAAGAAAGAAAGAAAGAAAGAAAGAAAAAAGAAAGAAAAAGTGAGAGAGAAGAAAGAAAAAAAGAAAAAAGGGACAGAGAGACAAAAGGAAGGAGAGAGAGGGGGGAGGGAGGGAGGGAGAGGGAAAACACATGGCTGGCAAGCCACTCCCACCAGGTCACATGGCCGGCAAGTCACTCCCACAAAGGAAGCCACACCCACAGAGTAGGTTCCAAAAAATTTTGAAACCCACCACTGGTCTATTGCCAAGTGCCTAAAAATGCAGTCATGTGACTGATGGGCAACACAATGTTTTATAATGGCTGAAGTGCTTTACAGGCCATAAAACACCATTTCCAAGATTGTAAGAACTTAACAGTCATTAAGGAAGGTCTTCCAGTACTTTCTCACTGAAAACTGTCTGTTTTTCCCTAAAGTCTCCTTCTTACCTTCTTGAGTAGACATAGTCCCCTCTGCACAAGGAACACAATCGTAGCAACAAATAGGTTCGCTTTCACGGGCCACTTTGATGGATCCGGGCCGGCAATTTTCCACACACTGGGATGGAGGGAAAGTCTACACAGAGAAAGAGAAAAGATCAAGGAAATGGAACCAGGACTCAATTCTCTATAGGACTTAGACTTAACACTTAGAATAACTTTATTGTCACTTTAGATATACACTAATCATCATACATTACAATGAAATTTAATTACATACAGTTCCCAAAGGGTCACCACTTCCAATGTACACTGAATAAACATCACCTTCTTTTAATGACCCCATAATCCCTTGCGGGGTGAGTCCGGGCCACTAAATGAAGCTGAGCATTTACTGGCCGGATGCCCTTCCTGTCGCCAATGAGGAGTTGTTGTATTTTTTCAGCAGTTATAATCTCATTGTTCCCAGAGAGAGAAATATCTGCCTCTACCTAGGATTGAACTCACAGCCTCCTGATTATGAGGTGAGGGCTCCGCCTCTAGGCCACTATGCCATGACAAAATAAATAAATGAATATGCATATACCCACATATATTATATGACACAGAAAAACAACATGAGTCTAGTTTGGATGTTTACATGTACATGGCGAGAAAAATGAATCCTGCAAGTTTACCAGAAAAATGGCCTAGGGCAGGGGTCTCCAACCTTGGCAACTTTACGACTTGTGGACTTCAACTCCCAGAATTCCTCAGCCAGCGCATGCGCTGGCTGAGGAATTCTGGGAGCTGAAGTCCACAAGTCGTAAAGTTGTCAAGGCTGGTGACCCCTGGCCTAGGGGACAAAGCTGTTACAAAGCTGTTTTCCTGACAAGAAAAACAAATTCAAAAGTGGAGAGAATCAAAAAGCCTCTCTTGCACCAGGCTAAGATACATGAAAAGCGAAGGTGGGAAGTAAATAAAAGCAAACAAGTAAATAAATGGAAGTAAACAAACAAACAATAAAATGTGAAAACGGATTTTGTAAGCAGTACAGTTGCACTTTCCTTCTGTGTTTTACATCTCCCGCCCAAACCCTTTTCTTCTACATGAGTGCTTCTCGTCATAGTTTTTGAGGTTTTAACTCTCTCAGAGGAAAAACTGTTCTTGTCTCTGGCATGATGCTATGGAAAATGAAGAAATGGTTTTTGCTCTTTGGCCAGCAGTTTGATAGGCATAGGATAGGTTTAAGTCATCCAAATGTAGGAGATGACCAGGCTGAAGCCAACAGGAGGGGAGTCAAATGTGTCATCAGTCATCAATCCTTTTGCACTCATAAGAGATGTAAATGCACCTTGAATTCCTTTCTATTCTTAATTCACGCGAATTTCCCTTGCCTGTTAGTAGTTCAGATTCTTGTAGAGAGCTTAAGCCTACAATAAATATACACATTTGAACTGCCAGGATCTCTTAATTTCCCTGGAGATTGAGACTTAGCTTTATTTATTTAGCTGTTTGATCATTTGAATGTATTAGCCACTCAGCTCCAATGGACTCTTACAGTATTCTGACTGTATCCAAGGGCAGCTTAAAGTGTGTATATAACCTGTTAGGTTTTGCCACTCCACCTATTTCTTCGAAAGGATGTCAGAGAAATGTCTATGGAAATTCTCAGTCATCCAGGTCATGGTTGTCCCAAAGGTGCTTTTCAAGAGGCAACTGGAGTTTCTTATTTTTCTTAGAGAACTGACATGGACTGTAAGAGAAGCAAGAATCATGGGGAGTATGTGGATAATTTTATGCTGACTGGACAACACTACCATATTTTTCAGAGTATAAGACACATCTTTTCCCCCCTCAAAGAAGATAGAAATTTGGGTCCTTCTTATACTCTGAATGTAGCTTTTTGGAAGCTTTTTTTCAGCCCTAATGAGGTGCTAACAACTGAAATGATCTTTTGTTTCAGGCAAAGCACGGAAGTTCTGAAGGACCGCACCTCATTAGGGCTGAAAAAAAGCTTTGAATATTTTTACTGCAGCATACTGTTGGAAAAATATCCTGATTCATTCCAGCTGGGAGAAGCCTACCAGGAAAGATTTGAAGACTGCCTTAAGAGGTACTTCTTTTGTCCAGTTTCTATTTTTGGGAGATAATCCTCTCAGGAGCCAGGCAGAGGGTTCCTGTGACTATATGATTTCTATTCTTTTGAGGATAATCTCTTTAAGGAGAGAGAGAAACCACTGAGTTTTCTCAATGGTTTCCTTCAGGTAAGTGCTGGGCTGGTTTGTTGATTCAGCTTCGTTACATTTTATGTGGTGTTAATTGATTTTGGGTGAATGCCCAGACCTGCCACCTGGGGAAAGAAAAAAATTGGCAAAAAGTATCCTTTTATTATACTATTGTGTTCGCCTGTTTTTTTGGTGCTATGGGAATAAAAATGAATACCTGCTAGGCAGAATTCTTTTTCCTATTTTCCTCCCCAAAAACTAAGGTGCATCTTATACTCTGGTGAGTCTTATACTCTGAAAAATACGATAATTCAGTAATGGGGAGGGGAAAATATCTCATGCAGCATTATTTCCTCTTGTTGGCCTGAGAAGCAGAGCTAAGAAAAATGCCCTCTATCTTATTGAAAAGAGTCCACTTATTTGGCCCTGACTAATATTGAAAACCCCGTCATAGATCACTGCCTTGTCGTGGCAAAGGGGCTTGCGTAGCTCAATGAAGCCATGAGCTATTCCATGCAGGGCAACCCAAGACGGACAGGTCAAAGCAGAGAGCTCTGACAAAACGTGGTCCATTGGAGAAGGAAATGGCTACCCACTCCAGTATATTTGTCATGAAAACCCTATGGACGGTACCAAAAGGCAAAAAGATACGATGCTGGAAGATGAGCCCCTCAGGTGTGAAGGTGTCCAGGATGACAGAGAATGAAGTGGCTGGATGGAGTCACTGAATGGAATCCAGGGGATGGTAGAGGACAGGAAGGCCTGGAAGAACCTTGTCCATGGAGTCATGATTGATCAGACATGACTTCACGACTAACAACAGCAAATATTGAAAACAATTGCTTGGAAGATCTACCGATATTCTTCAAAAACCAGCAGACAGTGAAATGGAGCAATTAAATGTCCCTACCTTGTTAAGCCAATTCAAATCCTCAATACCATCCTGGTTAATGACAAATTTGAAGTTTTCAGCTCCTTGGCTTTCCAGCGTTGCAAAGTTCACCCTGGTCATTGTCTCGTTGGAGAGGACGACCCAATTTATGATGTCAAAGTCGGCTGTTAGGACTCCCGTCTCATCCAAACGTACCCCTTTCATGGAAGAATTGTGGAACCCGGAGCTCTGAAGGAGAGGGTGAAGCTAAAGTGGAAGAGAAAACTGCAGCCTGTAGAAAACACGAAGTAACATTTCTTATCTCAGCCGCCCATTTCGTAAATGCATCTTTTACAGTCCAGGGATTATTCTAGACCTCTGCTAGACATATTGATCTATTTAATGTGACCCTTCAAAGTCACAACAGCACTGAAAAAAAGTGACTTATGATTGTTTTTCACACTTACAACAATTGCAGCATCCCTCACGGTCACGTGCTCAAAATCCAGATGATTGGCAATTGCTTCATATTTATGACGGTTGCAGAGTCCCATGGTCCCACTAGCAAAGTCAATGGGGGAGCCAGATTCGCTTAGCAACCATGTTGCTAATTTAACAAATGCAATGATTTACTTAACAACGGTGGCAAGAAAAGTTGTAAACGGGGACAAACTAACTTAGCAAATTTTTCATTTAGCAACATAGATGTTGTGCTCAGTTTCATTAAACTAGGAAGGAAACGGAGAATGGATTCCCAGGCACAGGAGGGAAAATACCTGCCATGGTTCCAACGTTGGAGCACCTCTTCTCCTCCCATGCTTCGCTTCCATCCTTTTGGATCTGGACGAACAGGCAGCATCTAAAGAACGGGCAACAGCCCAGATGGTATCGTGAATGTAGAACCTGTCTAGAGATAAGATCGCTTCGATCTCCTCTTCGGGCAGAGTGTCCAGTCGCTCTTTCTCCATGCATCTCCTCCATTCTTTCACAGACGGAGCCCGTCTTGCATCATTGCAATCAAACGACCGACTCGCAAATTGCTCAATAGCAGAATAAGGGACCTGAAAGTCAAATTTCATCCTGTCGTGCGACTGGATGAGGAAAGAGAAGAGCCCATGGAAGTACTGGAAGGAGAGTTGGTTATTGTTCAGGGGCAATGAGACATCCCACAAGGCTGTGATGACCATGACTTTGCCTACCACGGGCTGGGTCAAGCTCTCAGCTGTCTTGTGAATCAGATACAATCCTTGGAGGAAGGAGCTCATCTCAGCACAGTAAACAAAGACATTGACTTGTCGCCATCTCTGGAACAGAGCGGCCTTGATGATCATAGAGCTGGCTTCCTCGGAAAAGCTTTGCGCTATAACAACACAAATGCCATTCTTGAGAAGCATTGGGCTCAAAGTCTTCATGGCTCTCTCACCGGTGTCGGTATCTGGGGCAAGGAGCCCCACCAAAGTCCACCCGAGGTGCAGTAGCAGTTTGACAATCCCTGGATAGTGAGCGCCTTCTTTCGGGACCATGTGGTAGAAAAAGGGGAAGAGTGTTTTATCACTGAAAACTTGTGAAACAAAAGTATAACTGATCTGAAACAGAAAGGAAGAAGTTTCAGCAAGTGGAATGCCAATAGGATAGGATAGGATAGGATAGGATAGGATAGGATAGGATAGGATAGGATAGGATAGGATAGGATAGGATAGGATAGGATAGGATAGGATAGGATAGGATAGGATAGGATAGGATGGGATGGGATGGGATGGGATGGGATGGGATGGGATGGGGAGGGGTGGAGTGGAGTGGAGTGGAATGGAATGGAGTGAAGTGGAATGGAATGGAATCAATATAATGGAACAGAATGGAATGGAACAGAATGGAATGGAACAGAATGGAATACAGGAATGGAACAGAACAGAACAGAAGAGAACAGAATGGAATACAGGAATGGAACAGAACGGATCGGAATAAAATATAATTCTTTATTGGCGAAGTGTGATTGAACACACAAGGAATTTATCTCTGGTGCATAAATTCTCAAAAGTGCACACATCAAACAACAAAGTGCTAGGTCGTAGATCATAAATCATAGTTACAATCCTTAATCATAAGATACAACTAGGGAGCCTTTCACTGAGGTGGTGCCATCCTTAATAGAAAATGAAAATAATAATAAATGGTCAGCTCTATCAAAGAGGATCCTTTGGAGAAGCTCATGGATATTCTGGTGAATGTTCATTTTGCAAGGAGCCAACATAGGCTTCTGATCTAGACTGGGAAGTTAATGCATCAATATCCATTTTGACCATGTCAAAGCCCTATCACAATGGAAAGAAAGGAGAAAGAAGTCCAAAGAGATCAGAGTCCCAGAAAGCCCTACCTGTGGGATTTTGTAGGTGCCCAGCATGGTTGAAATCTGGATGGAGATGTCAGAATTGGCCCCTTCAAGGAGAGCCAGGAGGTTTCTTGATTTACCACATCTATAATTTGGAACATTGGTCTGGCCAGTCGAAAGTTGGTCCAATAAAGCATCAGATGTTATGATCTTGTTGAAATAGTTGTCATGGATGTTGTAGCCCAGGGTGATGTTAGGTAAAACCTTGGGATCCCGGTTGATCTCCCGAATGGCAAAGTAGAAGGAGAGGATGTTCCAATGTTCTGTAGGTCCTTTCCTGCAGATGTATGTGAATCACATGACTTCAGTAACAACCGTAATTTCCTAAAGCTCCCCTGCCTCTTCTTCTGCCAATGATATTGGAACACTGCTATCATGTCTCCCCTAGTCCTTCTTTTCATTAAACTAGACATACCCAGTTCCTGCAACCTGCCCTCATCATCTTGGTTGCTCTTCTCTGCACTCTTTCTAGAGTCTCCACATATTTTCTACATTGTGGCGACCAAAACTGAATGCAGTATTCCAAGTGTGCCTTACCTTATAAAGTGGTATTCACACTTAAGTAATGAGATTTATGTTTTGAGATCTGCTGAAAGGTCCTTTACAAGAGTGATCAGACATTTTTGCAGTAGTGCTAGAGAAATTGAGACCAAAACCGAGGAACTGATATTTCAAGCAATCAAACAGACTATCTTAAAACAAATGTTTAAGTGCGAGAGAGAGATTCCAGAACTCTTATTTTGGCACCTTACTTTAAAAATTCAAAAGCAGTTTGAGAGCTTTAGAAATCAGCTAAGTGGAATTAGCCACAGGGCGACTTACAAGAAGAATTTAACCGAGGGAGTTGTGCGGAAACTGTGCTGAAGAAACCAAGCTTTGGTTGCGGAGATCAGCCCACCGATGAGATAGTCTCCTGGCCTGTAGTGATTCGATATCTCTACTTCATCTCTCCCCAAAGTTAAGGGACATTTGGCTGGAAGCATGCCGGAGATTTTACTGGGCAGCAGCAGCAGCAGTAGAAGCAAAAGGATCATTTTTGGTCTGTCCGGTTTGGCTTTCTGCATTCTGAAAGTTTTAATCAGATGGCTAGAAGGAGGGTGAGAACGAGAACGAGACAAAGGCTCTTTTGCAAGGCTTCAAGCTTCAGTGGTGTAGAAAGTCAGCACCCGCCTCTCAGAAGAATGTTGGGCACTTGTCAGATGAGCAGGAAGATGTGGAGACTCTAGAAAGAGTGCAGAGAAGAGCAACAAAGATGATTAGGGGACTGGAGGCTAAAACATATGAAGAACGGTTGCAGGAACTG